CTTTAAAGATGATTTATTATCAGCATCCAAAATGGACCATCATCAATCCTCCCTTGAGTTACTCGACAGCATTAAAGTTGTCTCAATATTTTCTCTCCGGCTTCCCAACGAAGCTTTACCACTCTTGACGACTTCGTGGATTCTGCAACTGGTACGGGTCCCCTAGTGTAGCTACAGATATAAGTAGTCAAGTTACTCTCCGTTATAGACTCGAACCTTTATTATTTGCTTCTACGGTTGGCACGATCTGAAATTGACCGTAGGATCCGCATACGAATTGCCGAATTTCATGAAGAAAGCGCAGCTTTATAAACCGGACGCGAAACTCGAGTCCCTGTGGATCTTTCGAGCCCGTCTTCATTTTATTAAGGCCAAGAATACCCACGGCTATATCTATATGTAGTACCTACATACATACAGCGCCAGTAGACAACGCGTCAGCCAGCTTTCCTGCAAGTTCGTAATCCTGTCAGGTAGACCAGGAAAATAACGTCCTGCGCTAAAATACAGTCATTCAGGTGTGTATACGTATTTATCATGAAAATTCAAAATTCATAAGGATCCACATAAAGAAAGCCAAAAAGAAAGGATAAACGGATCAGCAGCAGCCGCCGAGTCGTCCTATAGAAATTTTATCAACATAAGAGCGAAAAACGAAGAATTTACATCAAAGAAGTAAATTGTCAATTTTCAGAACACTTATCGCCAAATGAAAAATGCATGACGTTTGTCCGTTATACGTTACCTTGAATTTACATGAGAAACGATGCAGCTGCACTGTGTATTTAGCCATTATTATTCCTGTACGTTGAATTGAGAATGAACCTTGTTTATTTTATTTTTTTTTTTTTTGGAAAAAAAAAATAATATCCATATTGCAAATTGCCAAGAACAACGTAAATTCACCCAGTGTACTTTTCCCGAGTGCATTAAACTCGGAGCAGTATGCATTTCGTTGCAGTCCGACACCTCTCGAAATTCCGTGGCTGCGTAATTACGCGAATTTTCATATAATCACGGGAAAGCAGTGTGCAATTTCTGAATAATACTCGAAAGTATTATTGTACTGTGAAAATACGACATAATTGCGTTGCCATCTATATAAAAGACACGTGAAATTGTTTTCCACCATTAACGAAACTCCAGCGTCAAGTGGTTTATGGGAAATTACCTGCATAGGGAAATAAAAAAAGAAAAATTTGAAACATCAATAAAAAAGTACAGTCCGTTCGAAAATGTTCTCTTAATACATACAAAGTCCTTTCAGATTACACGGAGTCGGCCAACCAGGGATTTAGGAGTTTTCATATATATATATATATATATATATATATATATATAGATAGAGAGAAAAGAGATGAGTACAATCGTGATAAAAAGTTTTGGTTATCCCAAACCATTTGCCCGTCGCTATGTACTCGCTTAGTATTCAGTCGGTAGAAACATGCGGGATCCTTGATGGCATTCAGGATATCCTTTGGAATATCGAAAAGGTGTCCTTTGTAAGAGGTTAGGTATGTACGTTACTGGCTGTATACATAGGTGTATACCTGAACCGTGAATAAATGTATACCGAGAGTGGAGGGACTTTGACGGGACAGTTACAAGATGGCAATCAATTATTTCTCAAGAAGCTTTCGACCATCCCCTTTTCAAATTTCACCCTAACTTTCCTCACTTGGTTTTCTCTTTTCTTACTCTCGCTGCCCCCGCCTCTGTGTCTGTAGGTGTCTCTCGGAGAGGTACAGCTTCAAAGTTCACATCCCCTCTCCCCCTCCCTCTCGCTCATCTTGGACCCATTAGGATAAATTTAGTCCTAGATTAATATTAATGGTCTCTCCGTGGAACCCATAGTCCTTGGACCCAAGCTAGAAACCGGTGGAAGCTTTAGGAGTAAAGCAGCAACCCTTAAGGGTTGAACTATAACCCTTTGGAGAGAAGCGACCCCTTTTTCTGCAAAGGACAAAAATTTTTTAACAATTCTTCATTAAAATTTTTTTATTTTCTAAAAATATTAACTGCTTGCTACTGTAATTGATAGCCTTTTTTTTTTTAATTGGACATATCCGATAACCACCCCCCCCCTCCCCCTACTGATCAACGTGAATCTTTCTTTCATTCCCTGGAGAATTTGACTTATCGGATTTAACGGGGTAAGTTGGAAGTCAATGGTTAAGTAAGGATAAAAAATGTCTGCGGATAAAAGGAGGGACGGATTAATTCTAATCGATGTACCTAAACGATACAAGCAAGACAGTAGTATCGTGTCCTTAGCGAAAGCAAGTCCTCCTTTAAGCTAAGCTACTAAATGGTGTAATTGTCCTCGAGTCATCTCGTTACTCGCTAAGGCAGCTTAATCTCACGCAATTACTCTTACATTATTACGTATTCTGGACACCAACTAAGTTTCACGTCGTTCGCCGTCATCGTTCTTGGAAAAAGGACAGTTTAATTCTCTCGTTTCGTGGTCGAAGAGATGCAGGCACTCTCTTAAGGTTTTAAGTCGGATAACGTGTAATCTGTGAAAGAGAACAAAAAATGGTTGAGTCGAAAATTTTTGTTCAAGTCGTGTGACACCTTGGCAGAATATTAACGAGCATATACGATATATTGATCGGAACCTTCGAATTTTTCAAAGTAAATTTATTCACGCGAACCGAATTGCATATCTAATCTCGCGAATATTATCGATAAAGGAAAGAAGCAGTACCTAAAAAAGCACCTCCCATTCGACAAGAGTATTTTACCCGGGAAGAAGGAAAAAAAATTTTCCCGTGGGACACAAGGATGGTGCCTAAAGGTGGGATGCGAAGCTTATCGGAATGCCGTTGAAATTTGCAGCCCTTTGACAGGAGGCTTGGATCCGGGCCAAGAACGAATCTGCTATTCGATTTGACATTTTCCAGCAAATACTTTTCCCCAATCACGGTTAGCCTTTACCGCTCTCTTGCATCCCGTCGCTCCTCCACCCTTCGCCCCAGTACGAGGAATCAATTGACTGGTGAGTGGTAACGTGAGAGATAGAAAAATTTAAATTTTCAAATTTTCAAATTTTCAAATTCTCCCAGCCACTTGCGTAATCGGATCCCATCGAGGCCACGAAAATACGAAGGAAATCGGATATCTGCGATTTCTCCTATCGCCATTCGCTATCGATGCAATTCTATCGCCACTGTCAATCCTTCGATGCCCTAACCTTACCTTACACCTGTACGACACCGCGGTCGCTCGATTCCTCTGGGAATTCCGATCGAAGAAGATCGATCACTTATTCATCGAACCACCCGTTACCCAGATCAATTTAAAGAGCCCCCCTGCTACCGGGGAGTAAGTGTATCCAGTCTTGGAAATGCAAATGTATTATTAGACAGATCCTGAGGTCACGTGGCTACAGGGACAATGATGGGACGTCACCCCTTTTCCAAGTGCTTGACAGTAGCGGCCCCTTTGCTCAGACGCCCCGACGCCCCGACGCCCCGACGCCCAGATCCACGTAACGGGGGTAGAACGCTTCGTTGCTGTTTGCGCAAGACATTCTATTATCCCGGACCCCACTGAAACCCTTGTGCACTTTTGAGAAAGGAGCTCAAGGTGGAGCCGGGGCGCAGGGGGGGGGGGGGTAGTAGCTTTTTGAAAATCGAAA